TGGGAAAATGGAAAAGGAACATTAGTTTTTGATATCTGTATTAGTTACTTTTCTATTTCTCTGATATGACACCATGACCAAGGCAATGTATAAAAGAGAGTTTATTGGAGGCTTAGTTTCTGAGAGTTAGAGTCCATGACCATCATGGCAGGGAGCATGGCAGTAGGCAGGCAGGCATGGCATTGGAGCCATAGCTGAGAGACAGCAGATCACAGAAAGATGAAGTCTACCTTGGTGAATGAACAAGTTTATTGATGTCACTTAGTGGCATATGGGAAACTCACAGGCAGTTGCATCACCAAGAAGTCCCTCTATAAGTCATTGCTGACACATTACACATTTTAATATCCCAGGATTATATAGCAGAGGCAGGAGGGAGCAGTGGTTATAGTCTCAGGAGAGGGTTAGGGGATGATATTGTGACCCTCCCACCCTTTCTCTAAGAGATGATGTTAGCAGACCCATGACCATAAACCTAGTTATCTGCTATATATTCTATTGACTTTGTTGCCATGACTATGGGCCAAGATCTGCTGTAGGTCACTACAGCCACTCTGCTTCATGGTAGTGATGGTCATGTCAAGCCCAAAGACAACAGCTGTAGAGCACTATGTGTTCTTCTGCAGTGTTCCCAGAGCTTGGAGAGGCTGTTGAATGTCTGTTCCTTCACTAGGCCTGAGTGAATATGGCCCACATATGCTATAGCAACAGACACTTATTCTCAGCAGTTTGACTGCTTGTTAGTCTCTACAGTAATGACCACCTAATGTAGAAAGAAATTTTCCTTCCATTGGCATCCAGTAGCAGTATAGTCATAAATGTCTACAGAACAAGTTGACAGGCATGTTGTATTGGCTTACCAAAACAGTAATAGTGACTTCCCCCCTGGAGCTTACCATTTCCCAAGCCACAAGTTTTTGCCTGATTACTGTACCAAACATGGGTTCCCTCCCATGGAGCGAGCATTAAGTCCAATGTGGAGGCAGTTGGTTGCATCTGTAACTGCTGTGCCACTATTGTTACACCAGAGCCATGCTGATAAACAGGGCCCAGAACTGAACAAGCGTATTGGTGATGACAGTTCTCTCCTAGTAGCCTGTATAACACCTTCAAAAAGGATGATCACTCACAAGTAACTCACTTACAGCTAAGATTTAGCTCGATTTGTTTGCTGAAACCAGAGCGTGTGGTATCTTTAGCATTAGGGACTACCCATCCTATTTTGGCATGCAGCCATGGCAGTGGTAATAGCCTGAATGGTTTACGAGACTTCAGAGACCTCCTTGGACAGAGCAGTGGCCTACTCCTCTGTATTTAAGATTGGAACTACCTTACAGAGATCTCGTCTGTCACTTCTACCTTGTGTGCTCTCTCCTCATCATCCAATCCTTCCCTGGGTTTCAAGGCTTTGGATCCCAGCAGGGGCTTTTCTGCAAAGATCTCATTTATAATCTTTCCCTTATGCTACCTCAAGACATAAAACGACGACAACCAAATGCCAAGCCAGCATTTCCATCCGTCTTTCCTCTTGTTTAGTTTACCTGCCAATCATGGTCTTTACAGAGGACACCACGCCACGGCTTCTCCCCTTGGCGACTTCTCCATTTGTCATAGGCAAGTTCCCTTGGGCCGGCAGCTTAGCTTCAGTTCGTGTTTTGTGACCCATAGCAACAGCCATGCAACACAGCAGTGCAACTGCCTCTACGTGTTCTGACAGCTGGTGCATGTGTGCTGCTGCCAGGGATCACAACATAGTGTCTAGTTCACCAGCTTTTGGGGAGACACCCCTGTGTGCATGTGGTAAATCACATTCATCAAGGAAGGAATTCCAGCACATACCACACAAAGCAAGATGGGCAACCTAGGATTTCTTCCATGAGTGTTCCACCCTGAGTCACCTTTGCTGGTTTTTGTAAAAAAAAAAAAAAAAAATTATTGTATGCAGGTGTAGCTAGAGTTTTCCTGCCTGGCCCACAGTCAGGACAAATCTCTATCACCTGCCAGTCCCACAGCCACTCAGACCCGACCAAGTAAACACAGAGACTTATATTGGTTACAAACTGTATGGCCGTGGCAGGCTTCTTGCTAGCTGTTCTTACAGCTTAAATTTTCCATTAATCTATACCTTGCCACATGGCTCGTGGCTTACCGGCATCTTCACATGCTGTTTCTCATCATGGCGGCTGGCAGTGTCTCTCTGACTCAGCCTTCCACTTCCCAGCTTTATTCTCCTCCTTGTCCCGCCTACACTTCCTGCCTAGCCAATGGCCAATCAGTGTTTTATTTATTGACTAATCAGCAACACATTTGCCATACAGAACATCCCACAGCACTCCCCCCCCTTTTTTTTTCAAAAAGGAAGGTTTTAACCTTAACAAAGTAAAATTACATATAATTTGGGAATTTGGACGTAGCTTCTCTTACTACTTCCTGCTGGAGGGGGGCACTGTATCTTATGAGGACACAAAGAAAATTTTAGGATCATGGAGTAGTCCGTGAGGCTGTATCGTCTGAGCCAGTTGCCTTGAAACCATTCTGGATGTTGGATCATCTGGGCCATGGTGTCATCAGAGACCTTCAGGGGGTCTTGGCTGGTCAAATCTGATGTATCTTAATCTGGAACAAATCCATAGCCTTTGGCTTTCTGTGGGAACAAAAGCAGAGTCTCCTTTCCAAAGCAACACATCCTTACATCCAAATTTTGAAGTCAAGGTATCTTTAAAATATACATATTGGTTTAACTCAACATCTTTTACAATCAAATGTTTTTCTGCAGTTAAAAATCCCAAAGACAACACAATCCAGATTCTCTGTGTAATATTCATCTTCACGTGGCTTATTTTTTATATTAATTTTACTGTCTCTTTAAAGACTTTATTTTTTAAAACTATGTATTTGTTTCTATAACTGTATATATCACCTTTTTTGTCTCTTTCAAGCCTACGTATATTTTACATACATTGTAAACTATTACATCTGAATCTGTCTTATTGTGAATCTATTGCTTTAAACTGCAGCAGCTGTGGCTGCTGGCTCCACCCACCTCAGCTTCCCAACATGGCGGTGGTTTACCGTCAGCTCTGGGAGCTATCGTGGGTCTATGCTTTTATCCAAGCAGCATGTAGCCCAGAAACCTCTTTTTTTTTTTTTTTTTGTTTTTGTTTTGTACTAGCAAAGTCTAAATCCACCAAGCAACTTAATGTGCCACTTGTAGAGGCCTCATTCCCGCCATACGGCAGGTCGAGCGCGCATGATAGGAACCCTCCAGTAGCTCAAACCAGCAGCTGCCGCTCATTTGAGAGACACAATTAGGAACTGTTTTTAGCTCCATTTTAGAATCTTTTTTCTCAGTTTTTAGGTGAAACTCTTGCCCCACGTTTGGCGCCATTTGTAGCTAAAGTTTTCCTGCCTGGCCCACAGTCAGGACAAATCTCTATCACCTGCCAGTCCCACAGCCATTCAGACCCGACCAAGTAAACACAGAGACTTATATTGGTTACAAACTGTATGGCCGTGGCAGGCTTCTTGCTAACTGTTCTTACAGCTTAAATTAATCCATTTCCATTAATCTATACCTTGCCATGTGGCTCGTGGTTTACCGGCATCTTCATGCTGTTTCTCATCATGGCGGCTGGCAGTGTCTCTCTGACTCAGCCTTCCTCTTCCCAGCTTTACTCTCCTCCTTGTCCCGCCTACACTTCCTGCCTAGCCAATGGCCAATCAGTGTTTTATTTATTGACTAATCAGCAACACATTTGCCATACAGAACATCCCATAGCATGCAGGTATGTGTGTGTGTGTGAGTATGTGCACATGTGTGCACCTATCTGCAGAAGACAGAAGGTGTCAGTTCCCCTGGAGTTGGAGTTACAGGTGATTGGGAGCGGCCAGACATGGGTGCTGGAAACTGAACTTAAGTCCTCTGCAAAATCAATATGCACTTCTAACCACTGGACCATCTCTATAACCCTCCACTCTTGGTGGTGGTGTTTGTTTTTTCCTTTCATTGAAAATTAATTTCTTTCTCACATAATCCGTGAGAAATATATCTGGTTTGTTTTTTTTTTAACCGAGTCTTGTTTGTAGTCTTGGCTAGCCTACTACTCTTATGGAATCCAGGCTGACCCCAAATTTACAACAATCCCCCATCTCAGTCTCCCAAATGCTGGTTTATAGGTATGCCACCATGCCTATCTCTCATCATTGTTTCTATCGAGTCCCTGTTGTGCAAGAACCAATTATTGTATACTTATCCTAGAGAGATGTAAAAGACACATTTATTCACCCCTAGTAATGAAAAGGCCAACAGACCAAGGAAAGATTTATCAAGTCTGGTTTGGCAAATACATGAACTTATTGACGTTCCTTGCATGCACACAGGCAGCTCACAGACAGGTACATCACCAGGCACCCCATCCCTTCGTCAGGTTTTTACCTTTTATGTACTTCAGCATTTCTAAGATCCTGCTACTCCATAGCAATGGGTAGAAGGGAGTGGAATGTTCAACAGCCTTATTACCACCTTCAGAGTTAGCCATTGTAGACTTAGTCCGTTTCATTTTGTTGCCACAACCATGGGCCAAGGAATGTTTGCCGTAGTCGCCACAGCCATTCTGCTTCATGGTGGTGATAGTCATGTCAAGCCTGAAATAGACTGAGGAAATAGCTACACTATAGTTTTCACAGAGTGGGCACGGAGGATGATGCTCAGGCATGTCCTCGAACCTGGAAAGAAGAGCTGAGAGGTGACTGGGGAAGGGCAAAGGGATCAAGAGGCTGAGTACTACCACTGAGTGGCCGGCAGTGGGGGTTGTAGAGGCTTACATAAGAAGGCCTGGCTGCCATATGGGTGCAGAAGGCATCTTGAGGTCGGTGGTGGCTTTCAAGATTCCTTGGTCACGTGCTGATACAGATGGCCACAGCGGAGGTATCTCTGCTGGAGAGTCACTAGTCTCTGGGCATCCTGAAATTCTGAAGTAAGAGAGAGGTGGGCCATACAGGGTTCTCCGAGAGTCCCCACGATGGCTGATGGTGAAAGGGAAAGTGGAGGAGGCCGTAAAGGTGCTGTGCTATGCGGCTGAGGTGAACAAGACGGCCATTCCTTTAAATCTACTAAATGAGGTAAGAGGCCTCGGGCCAGGAGGGAGGCCAGGGCTGGAGACCGTGGGAAGGCCTCTTCCCTCATCCTTTCATGGGACCTCAGTCTACTGTTTCAGAATGATCATGACAAAACCAAGGCCAGAAAGTGGTTAGCACTGGGAGAGGGGCAGGCCTCGCCTGGTGCGTGGGGGCAGAGAGCAAGCTGGGGTCTCGGCTGCCTTTGGCTGGTCTTGCCGTTCTATAGCTGCAGCTGCAGAGAAAGAAGGTGACTAAGGCCTCCATCATGGACTTCTACACCAACCAGCACCTCTTCAAGGTGGTCTTGTCCATGGCCTGTGTGTGGTGAGTGTCCAGGGCTGGCTGCAAACTCGGGCATGGCATGGAGGGTGCTCAGGCCTAGGGTCAGGGCTCGGTGTTTGTGTCTTCCCTACAGCACACCTCTTCTCTTGCCTCTGTCCTGTTCCTCCTGAGACTCAATCCTCCCTCCCTCCTCTTCTCCCTCCTCCCTTCCCTCTCCTCTCCTCCCCTTCCCCTTTCTCTTCCCTCCTCTTCCTCCCCCGTCTCCCGCGCTATTCCTCCTTCCGTCTCTCCATCCTCCTCCTCCTCCTCCTCCTCCTCCTTTCTCTCTCCCTTGCTCTCTTACTGTTTTGTTCCAGGTTTACCGTCAGTTACATCTATTTTACGCTGAGCCTCAAGCTGAAGGATTTCGGGGTAGACATCTACTTCAGACAAGTGATCCCAGCCATTCTGGAGGTGCCAGCCCGGCTGTGCTGTATGCTTCTCCTGGAGCACTTGGGGAGGAGATGTAGCCTGTTCCTGAGTCTCATCCTAGTTGCCATCATGTGTTTGTTTCTCCTTTTCCTCCCTCAAGGTACAACATGCCAAGAGGCCGCCTCCAGACCTCTCACTTCTTCAAGGTCTTCCTAGTGTCTCTTTTCTGGGCTGGCCAGCTCAGCACAGGAGTTGGCTTCCTGTGTCTATCATTTGCCCTTCCTGAGGAAGCCCCAGTCCCCAAGACAGCATGTACCCACGTTCAGAGACCTGAGAGAGGAACTCGGGCTGTCCAAAAAAGAGCTATCCTTGTGTGAGAGGGCAGGCAACTGCTACGGCAACCTCTCTGGCCCCATTCCAGCCCACACCAGAAGCAGATCTAGTGGGTAAATGAGAGTAGATGGGAGCAAGTATTACCTGCGATTGTCCAGGATAATCTGCTCATTGAAGACTGGTGTATGGTGACCTGGACCCACGGCAATAGTCTTGCTCAGAGGCCTTTCTCAGTGGCTCACTGCCTGGCTCCTGGTGCTCAGGATTATTTCCCACATTTCAAGATCCCTGGGCAGTGAGCATGGATCAGTCTGTGGGGCTGGAGTGCACAGAGCTGTGGTGCCCCAATGGCCAGTGCCTAGTAGGGGGGCTGCAATGCATGTTTTCCTAAGGAGCCCCTTCTTTCTCTCAGAGCACCTTGCAGGATCCTCCCAGATGTGAGCAGATATTTGTTAGTTACCACAAAACGAAACATTTTCAGGTTTCTACAGCCTGGTGTTTATTGTTATTGACGTTATTGTTGTTGAGCAGAGCACTGAATCCAGGTGACAGATTTACAGATCCCATATGTGGGCAAGAAACTAGGAGTAGGATTCTGGGGATAAAAGTCTGGGGGTTGCAGACACGGCTCAGTTGGTGAAGCGCTTGCTGCAGAGACATAAAAAACTGACTTTGGACACCCCGCACTCACGTGAGAATCTCAGCAGGACAGCATGGGCCATAGTCTGGGTTTGGGGGAGAAAGAGGCAGGAAGATCTCAGGTTTGCTGCCCAGCTAGTCTTATTGAATCAGCAAGTGTCAGGTTCAGTGAGAAACCCTATCCCGGCAAAATAGGGTTTGGCCGCCAAAGCCCTGTCCAGCTCTCCCACTACGGTAACTTCAGGACTGGCTAGGCCTATGTAGATCTTCCTCTGGCTGAATGTCTGAGTCTGCTGGCTAGGTGACTAAGTGGTAGGGGTGGGCCATTCAGCTGCCTTTGGTAAGGGACTGAGAGAAGGCTGGAGGGCCCTAAAGGTAGGGTGGACCAAGACTCAGGGCCATGCTGTCTTCACTCAGAGCTGAAGACGACGATAGTCTTGGTGCTTGTGCTTGGAGAGTTTAGCCTGGCTGCCACTGTCACTATATTCTTGGTCTACACTGCTGAGCTCCTCCCCACTGTCCTCAGGTATGGAGTCTGGTGGGTTGAGGGGGATTAGGGGAATGGGACAGTGCCAAGATTGATGTAGCAGCCAAGACTGAACATTTGCCAGGAAACAATCACTATGTTAAACATGGTTTGCATGGATTGGCTCACCCAGCTCTCATCAGAAAACAAAACCCAAATGCTTTCATTGACCTTTGAGTTGACAAAATCAAAGACATGAAAGGCCCTGGTCTAGAGTCAGAGTTGGAGTTTGTACTAAGGGATGTCTTGGTTTCTTTTTCTGTCACTGTGATAAAAAAATCATGACACAAGTAACTTAGAGAAAAGGAAGTACACTCTGGCTCTCAGTTAAAGCGGACAGCTCATTTATGGTGGGACAGTCCAGGCATAGGAGCTTGAAGCAGCTGACTACATCACACCACAGTCAGGAAGCAATGATGCATGCACGCCACTGTTTACTCCCTTTCTGCACTGGCACAGTCCAGGATCCCAGTCAAGGGAATGGTGCCACCCATAGTGGGTGAGTCTTCCCATCTCAGTTAACCTGATCCCCTGCCATCATGCTCAGGGCCAGTCTCCCAGATACTTCTAGATTTTGTGGGATTGACAAAGCATGATAACCATCACATGGGGTCTGACTCCAGTCCCTGCCTGGCACCTTGTCCTCATTTGCTTTCTATTGTGTGATAGATGCCAAGACCAAAAGCAGCTTGGGGAAGGAAGGCTTTTAACCTCACAGCATACCTTCATAAAGGGAAATCAGGAGAGGAACCTGGGGACAGGAACTAAAGCAGAAGCCATGCTGGAATGCTGCTTACTGGATTGTTCCTTATGAATTGTTCAGTTTGCTTTCTTAGACACCCCTGGACTACCTTCCCAGGGGTGGCACTGCTCACAGTGAGCTGGGCCCTCCAACACCAATCATCAATCAAGGAAACGCCCCCACCAGACTTGCCCATTGGCCAATCTGATGGGGGCATTTTCTCAATTGAGGTTCTGTCTTCCCAGATGACTCTAGGTGTGTCAAATTGACAAAATTAGCCAGCCCACACCAGATGCCTGGAATGTGTTTGGGTTGCCCCGAGGTTCCTCCTCTTCTCCCACAGAGCTCCTGGTACTAGCAACCCTGTCTTTCTGACCCCTGGGCTGCATCCTTTCCTCATATGACCATATGCCATTACGATGTGTACATGATTAATAACTCACTCACAATATCCAAGGAGGAGGCCAGGAGAAATAACTACCTCTCTTAAATTGATGAAGAACTGGATTCTCCAAGGTCTCATACACTGGGCTGGAATAGGGTAAATGCAGAGTATGTGGTTTTAGGTAGTGTCTCCCTTTCACTATACCCAGCCTCTGAGCATAAGAAGTCATCTAAACCAGTTCTCAACTCCACTTTCAGGTCTACAGGTCTGGGGATGGTGTCTCTAGCCTTGACAGGTGGAGCCATCACAGCTCTGACCATCTTCAACCAGATCAAAACACAGCTGCCCATCTTCTTCTGCTGTCTCTCTTGTGTCGTGGCCTTGTGCTTCTCCTCCTTGGTGCCAGAAACAGGAAACAAGCCTCTCAATGATGGCATAGAATACAGTACAAGGTAGATGAGCACACCTCCTTGTCTAAAGCCAGACATTGTCCATCCCAATGACAAGAGGGCCCATGACATGAAGATCATCCTGTTCAAAGCAATCTCGCCAGATCTTCTGGATGTGGTCACTTGCCTGGGTCCAGCTCAGGCTCTGCCAATTTTCTCCCTCTGTTTGGCTTTCCTTGCCCATAGATCCTCTCTTTGCCCTGCCCCATCTGCCTATCTGGACTGGGGCATTGTCCTTGGAGATAAGAAAGCTAAGGTGACATAAATTCATTCAGTGTTAGGAGCTCTTCTCCTAAAGGGTTTTTGAGAAAATTAGGCCCACATTGTAAATGGTCCAGCATGTGGCAGGTACTCAGTGAAAGCTAGTGACAGAGATGGTGAGACACACTCCAAAGTTACAGGGAAGAGGGGGTCTAGTTGGGCCAGGGAATGGAGTCAGCCTGATCCTGAAGATAGGGCTCCTCTTGGACCCATGACCAAGCTTGGCTGGGGACCTAGAAGACTGAGAACACCCCATCTCTCTCAGAAGAGGTCATGATTAAAGATGTCTCATGATTTTTTTTTTCATCATCCAAAGAGAGTCTATTGACTTCAAGAGGAGAAGCCAGGAAATTGCTGCAATGATTATAGCTGGGGAGTCAGTGTCTGATGTTGTGATTGATGAAGTGACAAAGAATACCATTCTCAATGCCATGCCTCTGCAATCAGAAGTAGACATGTTCTTCAACACAGCCTCGGAGAAGCCCAGCACCAGTGAAGTACCCAGTCCAGCTCCCTGAGGACCAGCTTCCCCAGAACATTTTGGATTGGAGTTTAATGGCTGGGTGGGGGGCCATGGATTCAAGGCCTCAAACTCTAGTTCCAGTCTGGTATGTGGGCAGAGTATGTCCTTCTCCAAGGCCAGCCCCCAGGATCCAAAAATAGCCCCTTCTGAAGGAGGAGCTAAGTTGTGATTCATTCCAATAAAATATCATGTTGGTCTTGAAATGGTTAGGTCAAGGTTGGCTGTGTCCTGACAACCCAGAGACTGTGGCCTAGACAGGTATGGGGTGGTGATTAGATGGGCAACTAAGCCTTTTCAGGACCTTTGGCTAAACCTTCAGGGATAGAGTGGGTGTGGGATGGGCAATATATCTGAAGTCCGGAGACAGAACAAGGGTACCAATAATACCTTCTAGCCCAGCCATCAGCTCAAGCTCAGACCAAGGCCAGAATTCATGAAGGTATGGATGGAATGTGAATGATTAATGAGAACATCTCTCATTGCTTAGGGTATTCTCACTCTTCCCCTTGATATTCCAAATAAGCATGACTTTAAAACTGATCTATCTCAACTCAAGATTTATCCTGAGAGATGCCCTACTGATAGCTCCAGTGAAGCTGGCCTCTGACTTCCACCACCCCAAGAAAAAGCCCCTGTGACATTTCATGTTAATTGTCAACTTGACATGATCTACAATCACCTGGGGATCATGCCTATGGGTGATTATCTTGATCAGGTTAGTTGAGGTCGGAAGACCTGCCTGCTGTCTATGATGCCATTCCTTGAGTTGGGTCCTGAACTGCATAAGAGGAAAGTTAGCTGAGAAGCAGCCAGTGTATATTCATCCCTTTCTGCTTCTTGACTGCCGATGTAATGGGATCACTTAATTTCAAGGTCTCCACCCTGATAAACTGTAACCTCAAACTATAAAACTATGAGCTGAAATAAACTCTGTCTCCCTTAAGTTGCTTTTGTCATGGTATTTTATTACAGTGATGGAGAGTAACTATCCTAGTTAGTCATCTGGACACAGTTATCTAGGAGGAAAACCTCCCTCAAGGAATTGTTTAGATCAGATTGGCCTGTGGGCATGTTTGTAAGGATTGTCTTGATTATTAATTGATGCAGGAGGGCTTGGTCTACTACAGGCAGTATCATCCTGGGATGATCCTAGGTCCTGGGCTGTGTAAAGCTAAGCTTGAGCAGTGAGTGAGACAGGGAAGTGTTCCTGCCTCCAAATTCCTGTCTTGAGTTTCTGTCTAGACTTTGTTCAATGATGGCTTGTGTAGGTAAATTCTACATTTTGCAACTCTGTGAGTTTGGTGTCCTGGGTTTTGGCACCAAAAATGTAGGTAAATGGGTTGCAACAACACTGGGAAAGGTGTCCTGACTACCTGGGAGTCAGGCAACACCTTGAGCTGCTTAGGACAGCTCTGATGGCTGAACTGCAAAAAGACAGTTCGACCCTGGAGTGCAAGGTATCCTGGACACCTCGAGATGCTCAGAACAACAGCTCTGCCCTGAAGGTGTCCTGGACACCTGGGGCTATTTAGCACAGCTCTGATGACTAGAACTGCAAAGAAGCAGCCCAACTCTGGAAGGGAAATTTTTCTGACTTCTCAGGAGAGTCAGGCCTGGAACTGCTTCAGCAGAGAATGGTATCCTGACTCTTTGGGAAAGTCAAGGTATACCTGGCGTGATGGAGGATGGTCTCCTTGCAGGATATAGCAATCTTGCTCCTTTCCTGGAGAGCCTCAACAGCTGAGCTTTGCTCAGCCCCCACTTAAGGGGCCTTCCTAGCAGAGCTCTGCTTCTCCAGCCTAAGATGTTGCTTCTTTTGCTTCACTCTGCAAAAGGGGAAACCCCTGCAGAAATGTAGCCATCTCCTCCGGCTCTGGAGAAAAGTGTTACTTATTTTCTCTCTCTCTCTCTCTCTCTCTCTCTCTCTCTCTCTCTCTCTCTCTCTCTCTCTCTCTCTCTCTCTCTCTTTCCACTGAGGTATGTCTCAGCAAAGATCTTCTGTTCAGCTCTCCCTTGTTTTGTTCACTGGGGGACGTCTCAGCAAGGATCTTCTCTATGCCAGTGAGTGAGGATCTTCACACCCAAAACCCTTTTGAGAAAGATTTATTTGGGAGGAGGAGTCCAGGAGAGTAGCTGCCTCTACCAGGGTGGAGAGAACACCCTTTTTCTCTAACTGACTAGGCAGGGTGGTTTACACAGGAAGTCTTGGGGGTGGAATCAACCCCCAAGGGTTCTACTATCCTGCTCTGTGATTGGTTGGCTTCACAAGTCAGTTGACCAGGGGCAGAGATGGCTCTGGTCTTACTGAGCCAAACTGTGTTTCTTTCTGCCCTGATCTGAGCCATCTTTCCCTAGTTCTGGGCTCCAGGGTCAGGGTGGGTTTCTTTAGCCAGCCCCTTTTCCCTACAGATTGTGACCTAGAAGTGTCAGCCAAATAAACCCTTTCCTTCACAAGTTGCTTTTGGTTCAAAACTTAAAGCAAGAGAGAGGAAGGTAGAGGGGTAACTAGTCCAGCACCCATCCTACAGTCTGCAGAGCCCACTGTCCCCCAGGTAAACCTGCCACTGTCAGCTAACATATGACTCCTCCAAGGAGGGCTCATCTTCGCTAGGTGGACTGGGAAGTCCTGGGTGTCAGGCCCTGACACCACTTCCTCTCTCCCTCTGCAGGCTGTCCTCTAAGTCAAAGCCTGCCTTGTGGTCTACTCTCTTGCCCATTTTGGTTGAAGATCATGAACTTATAAAAAATAGTTTTTATCTAACTCTGGGAGCTTCTGCAAGGACAGAAAAGTCTTCAGTTCTCATGAAGGCAGACAGGCCCTTACACACCACTGAAATCAGGACAGGCCCTTACACACCACTGAAATCAGGACAGGCCCTTACACACCACTGAAATCAGGACAGGCCCTTACACACCACTGAAATCAGGACAGGCCCTTACACACCACTGAAATCAGGACAGGCCCTTACACACCACTGAAATCAGGACAGGCCCTTACACACCACTGAAATCAGGACAGGCCCTTACACACCACTGAAATCAGGACAGGCTCTTACACACCACTGAAATCAGGACAGGCCCTTACACACCACTGAAATCAGGACAGGCCCTTACACACCACTGAAATCAGGACAGGCTCTTACACACCATTGAAATCAGGACAGGCTCTTACACACCACTGAAATCAGGACAGGCCCTTACACACCACTGAAATCAGGACAGGCTCTTACACACCACTGAAATCAGGACAGGCTCTTACACACCACTGAAATCAGGACAGGCCCTTACACACCACTGAAATCAGGACAGGCTCTTACACACCACTGAAGGAAGGCAGGACAAGCTCTTACCAGTCTTCTCACTGAAGATGTCTTAGTGTAGTAAATGTATGAACTTGCACATCGTCAGGAAATTCTGTCTCCCACAAATCTGATGATTTTGTGATAGAATAAACAGTATTGAACATGTTCACAGGGGGACGGCTCCTTGTGTCCAAGGACACAAGTAATGCTACATCTAGTGACAGACCCACAGATACCTGTGGATGTCAAGGATCCCATTTCCATTGTCACTGGTGACTGGCTCTGTGGAAGTCTCATCTCACAGGTACCTTTTAGGGCCTGATATATCTCTACTACTTTTGAGGTGTTAGCCTAAAAGTTATCCCCAGCCCCTATCCTAGACTGTCACCTTCCTATCCTTACTACTTACACAAGATGGCTGCTAACAACTTCTCAAAGAGTATGAGGTCAGATAGCAACACTGTTAGACAGTGAGTGCTAAGGCCACAGAACATGGCAGCCCCATTAAAGAAGCCCTGAACCATCTTATTGTCTTGGAAGAAGCAAATACAAAATCTAGTCAGAAAGATCATCAAAACAGCGCAGACTCATAGGACATTCTAGGGAAAATGAACTTGTAAACAAAAATTACTGTGAAAGTGAAAAAAAAAAATAAGACAGAAGAGAACAAGCAAGAAATGGAGAGTTGAGCCTCAGAGAAACCATGACAAGCCCCCCGAAGGGAAGGGGAGACAGAACATAGTGTTGCAGAGAGACAAAGTGGAAACCAGAATAGGAGTAAACAGGGAGGGGATGGAAGGAAGAGGAGGGTAAAGGCGGGAAAATGAGGAGGAACAACCAACACTGAAGGCCATTTGAAAAACCATATGGAAACCTACCACTGTAGAAGCTTCCTAAAATGTGTATATATGTGAAAGCTGGCACCTTATGCCACCAAATAAAACCTCCAGTTGGCCAAAGGGGGCCCCATGGAAACCCCCAAACATCACAGGCTATTGCCAAGGGTATTTCTTGCTCTCTATAACCTGAAGGCAAGATCCTATTGCTGAAAACAAGACTGACTCACTTAGTCATTGAACAAGGAGAAATTGAGCTGGTGCCTAACTAGAGGCTTCACCCCTACTGACTAGTGTTGGTGGTGCTGGGAGGTACTCTGCATGGTACCAGAGTGGAAACCATTACCAGAGTAATCATCAGTATCTTCCAGCTACAAACCCTGAAACTTCCAACAGCAACCTGCCTGCAGGATGGACAGGTGTAAGAGTGGCACAATCGTCTTTGGAGTAACCAACCACTCTCTTGATTGGATTTAAGGCCCATTTCATGGATTGGAAACCACACCTAACACTGCAAAAGTGGCCACGAGTCAGACTCGAAAGGTCATGGGCCTAGGAGGAAACCTAATGTTATTAGTTTACTAAAGGAACATAGCAAGAAAATAACTCCTAATGGCATATTGCTATACCACGTAGATCTGTGTCTCACTCAGTCCTCATCAGAGAAGCTTTTTCTTACAATAGATGGGAATTAATATAGAGACCCACAATTGGACAATGTGCAGAGAGTGAGAGACTTTTGAGCACTCAGTCCTAGGTGGGATGTTTTCATTAAACCCTTCCCCTCAAGGCTCAGAGACCTATGTAGAAGGGGAAGTGAAATTGTTATAAGAGCCAGAGGCTACAGATGTCTCCAAGGAAAAACAGGTCTTTCAGACACAATAGGACAGACGCTCACATGAACTCAAACTGGAGCAGCAAGCACAAGGACCTGCTCAGGTGACACCAATGGGAGTGGGGTGGACAGGAGCTCCCACCCCACCCAAGAAGCTCCCTAATGAAGGCGCTATCTGCAGTTGATTCCCGCTGGCCACAGGAAATCAGTATTCTCCAGTGGACTCTCACTGGGTCCATTCAACTTCACTTCAGGGCAGGTCCATGCCCAGGAGCAGTTGGCCAAACTGAGTAGTATTTTTGTGGACTTTTTGTTTCATTTTCCTTTGTTTTCATTTTTTCATACTGGTCTTTTGCTCACTTGTTGTGTGTGTGTGTGTGTGTGTGTGTGTGTGTGTGTGTGTGTGTGTGTTTCTTGCTTTTCATTCTTGGGACTTTTTGTTTGTTTTGTTTTTTGAAAGAGAAAAGAGAAAAAAGAGCATAACATGGGTAGGTAAGGAAGTGGGAAGGACCTGGGAGGAACTGAACAGGGAAGACATGATCAAAATATGTTGTATGAAAAAATTTTTCCAATTAAAAAATTTCATTAATAATGAGGTGACCCTTAAGATATGGGCTCGGGAGAGGCAGAGCCAGGAGGATCTCTGTGAGTTCGAGGCCAGCTTGGGCTACCAAGTGAGTTCCAGGAAAGGCACAAAGCTACAGAGAAACCCTGTCTCGAAAAACCAAAAAAAAAAAAAAAAAAAAAAAAAAGATATGGGCTCGGAATGGGACCCACGAGTCCAGAAATGTGCACTGTAGTGACTTAAACAACAGACACAGCCAGGAAAGAGCAAATCGTTGGAATATTCTTTAGGGGTTGTATCTTGTGTAATAAAGTATGATCCCTCTATTATTTATTTACTTATTTAGTTTTGGTTTTTCAAGACAGGGTTTCACTATGTA